AGCAATGAGTCTTATTATTGTATAAACAATAAATTTCTCAAGTAAATGTATTATGCTTGTGTTTTACCTTTGACATTTTCACTAAGGTAATTTCTCTTCCTAATTAAATATTGTAGTCTTTAATCCCAAGTTTGAAGTCATTCAAGTTTAAAAACTTTATCCCAAAGTTCACATGTTCAAAGGTTGACTCTTCATTGAATTGTGGAAAAACCTCTTTGCTACATGCATCTTCTTCATCTTTAGAGTTTATAGGAGTTTTCAATCTTTAGATACACATAAATCATCATCACCATTCTCATTAGAAGCATTACCTATATATGTGCTTTTGTGCCTTACACACTTACTCATCATTTTCTAAGCTTGTCCTATTCAATAACCACGTTTTTGTTATTGCTCCATTGTGCTTCTGTTGCATTTTCCTTCTTACTCCATTTTAAATTGGTCTTTTCCTTCTTTTTTTTTTGCTTTAAATACCCTTCTTTTATTCACCATTCTAAACAAAGATTTCTATTACTTCTGCATTCTCTTGCTCTACTAACTCAAGATTAACAAATTTAAGTTTATATATATGGTGTTTATAGTACATCTGTATCTCACCATTATTTCTCCTTTATGCACTTATCATCTCTGACAAACTAACATATGTTTTCAATATCCTTAATCTTGTGTGTAGCTTCTCCTTAGGATGCAACCAAAATACATTCTTCACTTTATCATAGCTCAATATATGACAAAAATTATTGAAACCACTATAGTCAAAATCGCGATTGAACTCATAAAATCAAATGATTTTACGATCTTCCTAAGTTCATCATTCCTATTATTATGCTAGGGCATGTTTTGCTGGGATTGTTGAGATTGCATGATCTTCCTCGTGAAATCGTGGAAACGTGCGATCCTAGACGAGTTGATGGAGCCCTATTTTTTTCAAAAAACCTGATTAACCTGGTTTGACCCGCCCTATTTTTTTTTACCCCACTTATATAACCCAAGATTTTAGGATTTTTTTCATTCTTCTCTTTGATATTGCCTTTTTCTCCACCTGTGATGCACACTTCTCTTCATCCTCAACAGTGTGAATCTGTTCTCTACCCCTTTCTCCTTCAAATCACCTCTCTCTCCACCATTTTTGGACGCAACCAGGACTTGGGGGTGATTGAGTGGTGGGTTGGTTTAGTGCTTTTCAAGTGGGATTGTCTACCTACTTCTATTTTGATATTTCTGCCCTGTTTGAAGATGTCTGCAAGTGGAAAAGGTACACCTACAAGCTAGAAAGGCCAACTAGGAAGTAGAAGAGTAGTTGCAAGTCCGACCATTAGTCACACTTATACTAGCTCAATGAGTTGCTCTGTTAGTGCAGTTGTGGTTGGTTCTTTACAAAAAATGCTCCTAAAAATAGGAGTGATGTGGCATGGCAGCATGGATTATCTGTGGATGGAGATGCACAAAAAATACAATGCAACTATTGTCAAAAAATAATAAGTGGTGGAGTTTACCATTTAAAATATTATTTGGTCAAAACATAGAAAGATGTGGGTGTTTGCTCTTCGATTAGTGATGAAGTGTGGAAAGAAATGTGGCAAGTTGTTTCCTTACAAGAGAAATTAATGAAGAAATCAAATAGCAACCTTAAAGAACTTCTTGTAGAAGGTGATGGTGGTGGTGATTCTGATGAGAAAAGAAAAGGGAGTGAAGTTGAAGATAGTGGAAACATTTTCAAGAAGAGAGGAGTAAGTAATCAAGTCACTCTCAATAACATATTCAAAAAGAATTTGAAAGGAAGTGTGTCAAGATATTACTTCTTTTTTTTTTTTTTACAACAATACCATACCATTCAATGTGGCAAGGAGTGAAGAATTTCATAAGATGTTGGAATCGATTACAAAATATGGTGTTGGATTCAAGCCACCTTCCTATTATAAAATTAGAGTTAAGTTTTTGAAATATCATGTGAATTTGACCATGAAATCTATTTAAGTACAAAGAGAAGAATGGAGAAAAATAGGATGCATAATAATGACAGATGGTTGGACCAACAAAAATAGAACTATATTGAATTTTTTAGTGAACAGTCCTATGAATACAATTTTTTTTATTTCAATTGATACATCTCATGTATCTAAAATAGCTGACAGGTTGTTTAAAATGATGGATGACATTGTAGAAGAGGTTTGTGAAGAAAATATGGTTCATATTGTGACTGACAATGTAACAAATTACAAGGCTGTGGGTGAATTATTGATGGAGAAAAGAAAGAAACTATATTGGACACCATGTGCTGCTCACTGCATAGATTTGATATTGGAGAATTTGAAGAAGAAGTTACTCATTCATCAAGAGACAATCTCAAAATAAAAAAAATTACTACTTATATTTACTTAAGGGCTTCCCTAATTTCTTTATTGTTATTCTTCACAAAAGGAACGAATTTGGTGAGACCAACCATAACTCGCTTTTCTACATCTTACCTTACTTTAGAATGTCTTCAAGAGCATAAGGGAGCATTGGATTATAGGCAATGAAAGTTCGTCTAATGCTGATGGTTTAGAAGTTGATGACTTATTGGACTTGGATTTGAATCCAAATTAACACTTGGGTCAAGTTGGAGTTGAATCCAACGATGCTGATGATGATTCTGTAAATTTAGATGATTTAGAAATTCTTACTTTTACTGATGACCTTGATGGAAGTGGAGATAAAGAAAATGAAGACCAAATAGAAGATGATTATTATAATCAAAATTTGAATGATTTATTAGAATAAGGAATATAAATCTTGGACATTTTGACTAGTTTCTTTTACTTTAATACTACTTTGAGTTTTATGTGTAATTGACTTGAGAACATATTTATTGTCATTAATGTTTGAGTTGTGATCGTATTTTATGAATTTAAGACTATTTATTCTTTATTTATCTTATTTTGTGTGTGCATATATATGTTTAAATATAATTTTATACATTAGGTAGGTTCTTACAATCTTACGAGTTACGTATTTTTCTCTCCCTTCTGATCTAAGTAGGATATCAATTTTGACTATCTTGATTGAAACTAAAGATATCCAACATTTCATCATCTAGCTAAACTTCAACTTTTTTACCTTCGTACTCCATACCTCTATCATCTTGTTCCACAAACTTTCTTTAATGGTGGATGTGAATTATAATAAATGTTATTCCACATGATAAAGTACGCCCAAATTAATTAAGAAATAAAATAAACACATTAAAATCAAATACTTCACATAAAAAATAATCACAATTTAAAAATCTAAAAACTCTTAAGGGACCAAAATCAACCTATGTAATAAATACAAATGGTGAGTTTTCTAAACATCAACACTCAATCACGCACTAAATCACGCACACAAAATAAAAAAGTGAAAAATAAAAGTAATAAAGGACCTATGCAATGCCACCATCATAAGGGACTATTACATTGTATGTAAAAGAGGAAAGTGAACTTAGTTATGTATTTTCCTCATAACTAGCAAAGAGTTGTTCTTTCAATCAAATGAAGCATAGTAGTTCTTGTCATGTACAAAGCAAGTGAATTAAAAAAATTTGAATGCACGGGAACAAGTGAAACCCTTGTGTTTAGTTGCCAATATTGAGTTTGGAACCCAATTGTAAGTGATAAGTCGAAGGAAGGTGAGGATGACATATAAGTCATCATATGCCCCTTATGCACTAGCAATACACATGAGAGTGGGTGACACATGCTACAATGGCCAAGACAAAGAATTTCGATCCTGTGAGAGTGAGCTAACTCAAAAAACTCTCCTTTATTCGGATTGTAGGCTGCATCTTGCTTGCAAGAAACCAAAATTGCTAGTAATCACCATGTCTTTAGTTTGAGTTATAGGCTACAATTTGCCTATATGAAACTAGACCCTTTATACGATGTCATTTTTAACATCCTTTAGGTTTCATTTGAATGTTTCAAAGGGAATGGAAGGAAAGAGTTTGAAGGAAGAAAAAGAGAAAAAAAGGAAAGTTAAATTTTTTTCTTATTTAGATGTTTAATATTGAGAGGGAAGGGTAATAAAGGGTTTAATCATAAATAATATTATTGTCTTTTACATCTTTTATTTATATATTTTTTTATTTTTTAAAAAATACAAAAAATTAAATCTTTCTCTCTCTAAAAAATATTTTTAAAATTAAAATTTTATTTTTTATAATTTATTTTAAAAAAATCTCATTTTAAAAACTAATATATTAAAAAAAATAGAATCCTACTAGTGAAAGAGTGCAAAAGAAAAAAACTATCCAAATTAGAGAAACTTATGATAAGAGATAACTTTAAAACCATCTAAATTGGAAGGACTTATGATGGAAAGTAACTTTAAAATAGAGGTTAAATTCCACTAATTCTCTCCTTTCCTTTCCCACTAACTCTTAAACTCCACTAATTTATGATGGGAGGTAACTTTAAAATAAATATTAAATTCCACTAATTCTTCCCAATTCTACTAATTCTTTTCTTTCTTGTAGATATAAACATAGCTTTTCAGACTTTATATATTTTAGGAGTTGAAATGAAGTTTATTCTTTAATTAAGTTTTTTTTTGAAGTTTTATTAAATATCAAAACAAAAACAAATACAAAAAAGGAACATGAACAATTTCTAAGATGCTAGTCTCAAAATAATAATAAAATATTTTATTATGTTTCTTGAAAGAAATTTGAAGTTTCTTTTAAAAGAAAAAGAATATTTTTTCCTATTGTCATTAGTTGGACTAGAAATTAGAGGTCAATGTTCCGTGTTTTCCACATGCTCAATTTGGTTGGCATCACACAGTCACTTGCCCAACAAGTTCCCACCGCAAAACAAAATATTCCAACCGGACCCACTTCTGTCAATCATACATCCCACCGTCCTGATCTTCCTGCAATTTGACGAACACAAACAAAAACCGTTGTGTCCTTTATCAGCAACTCCCCCTATTCACTCTTAAGGTTTTTCGATTCATTCTTTTAATTCCTAAACAAAATATTAACCTTTTATTTCAATAACATAAACATCAATCCGCTAACATCCATTGCTCACGACCCATTCCTAACAATTCTTGTATAACTAACTTTTATTTACCATTGTAATTGCTCATCACTTGGGACATTTAACAAATTAACAAAAAGCACTATTTGAATGATTATCGTTCTGTTCTGAAATCCCAGCTATGCGGTTCTGTACAGTGCCAAAATTATTTCTATTTTTTACCCTTGAGAAAAGGGAAATTAAAATTAAGATAAAAATTAAACTAAAAAAAGAAGAAAAAAAACACCGTCTCTCTCTACTCAATTCATGTCCAGTTGGCAGATTCGCATCTCGAAGTAACACCACCACCATCACCGTCTTCTTCTTCCTTCACTCGACGTTGCTAATTCCCATACGCTTCACCACAGCGTTTCCAATCGCTTCTGTATGCATTCTTAGCCCATTCTGTTCAATCTCCGACATGTAACTCTTCACCTCTTTTCTAACCATTTCTTGCATCACCCTCAAAAACTCCGCGTTAAACAACTGCTTCTCACGCTCCTCGCCGTTATGAACCGCCGCCGGTGACGCTTGTTTCGCCACCGTCACTGGGTTCGACCCGGACCCGGATTCCAACCCGGGTAAAGATAAACTCAAAGATGTGGCTGGATCGTTGGCCGAAGACGCGGTTTCGACCAACTGCGTCTTAATGGGCCTGGAAACATGAACTTGGGCGGAGCCCGATGGCGACGACAAAGCGGGTAAACCCGGATCGCTCAAATCGGAGCCTGACGGGCTATCCGGGTTTAAATATCCCGCGCCGACACTGGCGGATCTTTTAAGAGGTTGACGATCGTCGGAGCTAACGGCGGAGCATTTTCTCTTGAGAGTTGAGTTCCAATGATTCTTAACGGCGTTATCGGTGCGACCGTTAAGGAGGCGAGCTATGGTGGCCCACTTGTTACCGAACCGGGAGTGCGCTCTAATGATGGTGTCGTCCTCCTCCGGCGTGAAGGGACGATGCTCCACCTCCGGCGAGAGCTGGTTGCACCACCGTAGACGGCACGATTTTCCCGATCGACCAGGAATCGATTTGCTTATCAAGGACCAGTTTCTGGGACCATGTGCTTGAACTAGCCTCTGTAACGCTTCGTCCTCTTCGGGGCTCCATGGACCCTTGACCCGATCCATGTCTTTGCTTGAAGATGCCATGGAACGATTATTAAGTTAAAGAAAGAAAGTGAGTCTCATCAGAAGGGAAAATAAAAATTCTTATAAGGGAGATAGAAGGAGGGGTGGGGTTTGGGAGAAATAGAAAGTGGGAAAGTGGAAAAGCGATAAGGATGACTGGTTGGGCCGGTGGATGTTACCGGTTGGGGCGGTTGGGAAAGCAGTTACTAGTATACAGCTGTCAAACGAACACGCGTGGAGTTGGATCCTACTCACAGTTACACGTATTATCACGCTCTCTGTAGGTTAAGTGTTATCTACTAATATCTATTGAGTAATAACTGATTAACTAATCTTTATCTTATGCTGCTGCACAAACTCAAATTCACGACGGATATTATCAATAATTAAAATAATGTGCCACCAATGGGAAAAAAAATCCACGCATTCATTCAGGAATATCTCCTCCTTTCTTGACTAATGACCGTTGAACCGTTGCGCAATCGAATTTTATCTTAACTTAACCCCAAAACAAAACGGTAATCCCCCTTTCCACCCTCATCATCATATAAATTTACGCATGTCAAAACTCAAAACCCTGCCCCAAGGTAACGGATGAGAGAAAATAGTTGGAACTATTTCATTCTGTTTATTGTTATAAACTCTGTCATTTTTTGAATGTTTGAATGTTATTTTTTATGAAAATTTAATTTCTCTTTATTACTATATATGTATATATGATTTCAGAAATATATTTAAAATCAAACAAAATAACTGCTTTAACAATAATATCTTTTACTCAATTTTGAAAATATAAAACTAAAATATTTCTAGACTGTTTGCTTTTCTATTTTCAGTTTTAATTTTCAATTATTAGGTGTAACTTAAGTCAATACAGTTAGTCAATAACTGAGTATCTTAAATATTTTTACAAATTTAAAATAATAAATAACAATATTTTGTTAAAAATTAGTAAATTTTACATAATTGATTATTTTATTTTTAAATATTAATCTTTGATTATCTATTAAACACTGTCCTTCATTTGTAACAAATTATTTTAATTAAATAATTATTTTAAAGTATTTATTATATTTTTAAGGTGGAAAAAGTAGTTGATGTTTCTTGGCGAGTAAAATTTACATCAACTATTTCAAAAAAAAAAATTAATATTATGTATTTAAATATATTATTTATTGAATAACAAATTGGTTACATTATTCAAATCTTTTGGTTTAACATTTTAATTAACAAACTGTCTTATATATATAAACAGTTTTAATTATAAAGTCAGAATATGTGGATATTAATGTTAAATTTTAATATTTGCATTATTAATTTAAAAACTATTGTCAAATAAGTTAATTTTATAAATTTTTATAAAAATAAAATAAAATAAAATAAATACTCCATTACATTACATTATTTTAGTATATAATATATTTTTAAAATATGAGTAAATTTTAAATTTTAGATAAAATTTTACATATATTTAAATTGTATACAATTTAATATACATGATAAAGATAATGGATATTTGGTCATTTATATGTTCTATAAAAAATTATTAAATAATATAAAAACTTAAATTTGGTGTAATGGATCTGACTTTTAATAACCTTTGTTATATTTAAGGAAGAGCAATCCTACAAAATTTGTACAAAATAAAATGCTGTATAAGATTAATAATTAATTTAAAAAAAGGTACACAACCTTGTGAAAATTATGATAAGCTTCACAAATTCGTTTTTCCTTCAAACTTTTAGTTAAATTTTAAAAATATATAAGTAAGAATTATTATATTATTATTTTATATTTTCAATCTGTAAAAATAATAATAAAATGTGTTACTAATATTTATATTTCAATAAAATATGTAGCCATGTAGGCCATAGCTTGAGGATACGGTAGATTTGAGAAGGAATCGACCGAGCAGGTCAGGAAGCATTTTCCTTCCTGGGATAAGTGTGAATGGGATCTTCGAATAAATATGTTGTTTTTTTTTTCATGCTCAACATTTAAATTATTATGTTATTATTTCATTATTTTATTTTAAATTAATAATTGTAAATTATTTCATTTATTTTGATATTCTAATTTAATCATTAAATAATTTATTTTTCTAAATATTAAAAATTTTGACAATTAAAACACGGGTAAATAATTCAAAAAATATTTAAAACCACCGCTAATATATTTTTCTTCATGCAAAAAATTACTAAAAAATTTTTAAAACGAATAATTAAATTAAAATTATCGTGATATTTTCAAAAATAAAATCATAATATAACATTAAAAAATATTGTGATGATTTTTAATTTAAATATTTAAAATTAATATAATTATTTTATAAAATATTTATTATATTAAAATATAAAAAAGGTATTATTTAATAAAATTTATATTTTTAAATAATTTTAATTTTGAAACTATTAAATTAAGAAGATAGTATTAAATTAAGGAAGAGGTTGAAAAGAAAGGAAAGACAGAAAAAAAAAGCAATGAGCTGGCTAAGAAAACGACAAATTGAAGAAGCACAATCTGGGGATGAACGCTACTAATATCCTGTCAGCAAAATCCAGCCTGTCAATACCCCTAAAGTCACACACTCCTAACGGCCTTCTTCCCCCACATTACCGCTACTTTCCAGTCGTTGCTTCAAACTTTAAAATTTTGAATTTCTCCATAACTCGTACACAGGAACCATGACATGGATCAGAAATGATAGGATTTTATATTATCTATTTTATATTTATGTAAATAATAATTGTAATTTTCAAATTTATTTATTTATAAAACACTTAATTCTTTTTGGTTGATTTACTGTTTGTAATTTGATAATTAAAATATAAATTTCAATATTTAATTGTAAAATAATAAACATAATTATAATGATTTGTTTATTTAAATTAATTATCGCCCACCTTGAGATGATTCAAATTAGCTAATTTGAAAGTAAGTTATCATATTGGTTCAAATCGTGTCATGAGTTGATCAAGTTGTAATGTTTTGTAAGTTTACAAGTTTTTAAGTGAGTTAAAATGGATTATACATCAACAATCATTATTATCTATTGTTTCATTTAACAACCATCAATAATTTTAAAATAGCACACTTAAGGTATAGAGGCAGTGATAAACGATAGTATCAAAATAATTAAATTTTTTAAAGGTTTTATAGTATAGAGCTAAGTTTAGGTCAAATTACGGGGATACATTTTCAGTCAAATTCAACTTTAGATTTTATTTTAAAGAATGTAAATCAATTTTTTTGGAGTTTTAAAAATTACAAATAGAATTAAAGTGAGTAAAAATAAATTAAGAAACATCAATCTACAGAATATCAATTGGGTATAACTCTTATTATCACAATATCTAAAGATTTAAATCTGTGTTTGAATAATCACCCAATTCAATTATTAATTCAATTGAATATCTTAATTAAATATAGTTACAAATTAAATCAAATAATTATTTAATCTTATCCATATTAATTATCAAATTAAAGCATCAATTGAGTCCTAATTTGAATTCTAACAACAGAAAAGTTAATTACGATCACAATACACAATTCTGATATTAGAAAAAAAAAAAAGAACAAACTTAGAGCAATTTAACACAGAACTCAAGTCAGAATTACAGCGTTTGGATCCACGGATTGAACGAAAGATTTAGCCTTCCATCAAAATGCTTACCCCACGCAAAAATGAGAAAAGAACAAGAGAATTCGAGTGAAAATAAAAACAAAGATTCGTATTTCAGCAAGTCTCAAAATCTCAAAGTGTTTAATCACTTTCCCACCTTATTAGTCTATTTATAGGTTTTGATTAAGATAAATTAAATGGCCAAAATGTGGGCCTCAATAATATCTAAAAGCCCAAATACAATTATTAAATAACAAAGATTCAAATGCAATCCTGCAAGAATATTCAACAAATCTGCTTCAACTTCAAAAAATTATAAAAAATAAAAAACAACTCCAAATCCAGCAATCCATATATGAATTTTAAAGCCCTGGATGTGTAGAATCCAATACAACTAGAATCAGTCAAAAATAATATTCGTAGAAAAAGTTATAGCCAAAAGAGTAGTCAAAGGTCAGAATAATTGAAAATACAAAATTAAAGCATTTATTTATAATAAGCCCAATTTATTCAAATAACTAGAAAATAATAAAAATTCTAAAAATAAAGTATATAAAAAATGTTTATTAATCAAAATAAAACTATAAATGTAAACCTAAAATATGTCACATCAAATAGCCCACAAAAAAAAAGTTGATAACAATAAAAAAAGGCATAGTTAGAATAGAATAAACCATAAGATGACAAGAAGATTTCAAAAAAAAGAGACCTCATTAACAACTAGAAAAGTTTAAAGACATATAAGATCTACTATATCTTTAAAGTTATAAAGCAAATTTACATTCACATGGAAATATGAAACAAGGCAACGAGTGTAATAAAAAACTTCATCAACAACATATCCAGAAGCTTGCTCAAGAAGCTTATGTTGCACGAAGAATTGATCAAGCATATTGAGTACTCATAACGATTATTTGGGGGACTTTGTCACATGAGTACTCATAATGATTATTTGGGGGCAAGTGTATCAATCGAATAATAATAAAATAGTTTCTTAAATTAAGTTCTTAAAATATTATCTTACAATGATTTTTTTTTCAATTACCAAGAATGTTGTAATTTAATTGTTTGAACCTAAATCGTGCGTAGTAAATTAAAATGACAATATGAAATAATTAAATAAAAATGTAACTAAAAGATCAAGAAAATAACTTAACTTCTAACAAAAAAATCATTCCAGGTGAACCTACAGCTTTTAGTTTCACTCTTATATTTCTTTTCACTTTTAATTTAATTTTAATCTGGATTTTTCTATGATCACCAACCACTCATATTAAACTATTAACACTTAATAATCATGCAATGTTAATATTATTTTTCTTAAGTTATTATTTCCAATGATCATGCAACACAAAAAGAAAAGAAAAATATAAACAGTTTATGAATTTTTCAATTTAATAATGATTGAAAGAAAAAAAATTAAATTTAATCTACTTAATTGTTAATTATTGTAGAAAGATCAT